GGCGTGAGCATGGCATAGTGTGGGATGTGTGAGGCAATTAACACGTATGCCAACGTGGCACGACCTTGGGCAAGAAATGCTACAAGGGTGGCGTGAGCATGATATAGTGTTAATTGCAAGATTTGTTGATTGTGAACGAAATGTGATTGTGGTTCCTCACACTTATGTCGGCGTGGCACGACCTTGGGCAAGAGATGCTACAGGGGTGGCTTGAGCATGGCATAGTTTGGGATGTGTGAGGCAATTATCATGTATGTCAATGTGGCACGACCTTGGGCAAAAGATGCTATAGGGGTGGCATGAACATGACATAGTGTTAATTGCAAGATTTGTGTGTGGCAATTGGTATAAATTGAATGTGATGTGATTGTGGATATCCTGATGGAAATATGTCAAGGTCAAGGAATCTAAGAGGTGATACATTAAAAGAACCAAGAGGAATGAGATGATTTTGAAGACCTTTTTCATATGTTTGTAAATATAGTAGTTACTTGTATAGGTTTATTTTGCCTTTGTATTTCTAAGGCACTTTTTGTTTCCTTTTTATAGATCATTGTATAGGGAATTTAGAGTAGGTTCTTTGGAGACTTTTACTCCATTTGACCTTGTATTAAAGGTCAACCATTTTTACTTTTTCAGTAGTAGAAGTGGGATGACAAATAGCAAGGCTTGAGGGTGTGATTAACAATTGGGTTTGAATTGGACCTAGGCAAAATTTTACATATTGGAATTGTTTTACTCCATATTTTTTAAGGATTTGATTCAGCTAGGTCTCACCATTTTTTGATGAACCTAACTAAACCAAATCAACAATTTTTGAAATAATTAAAGTGAGCAAAACTAGCCAAGGCCGCCTAGCTCTTTGTTTGGCCGGAATTGTTTCTCTTCACTTGAAGCCTTAAGAAGCTTGTGCTACAAGCTTCTAACTTAGCTTGCTTCCCAAGCAAGCTAAGGTAGAAGCTTACTTCACAAGCCTCCGAAATTAGGGAGACTGGTCAAGCAACCAAACCATGGTTCTCTTGAACCATGGTTAAGGTTAGCTTGCTCCCTAAGCTTCCTACTTCTATATATTCCTAAACCTTTCATTTGTAGACACTTTTAGATGTTAATGAATAGAATTTTCTCTCAAAATTCTCTCTTCCAAGAGCCAAAACCGTGGAGAAACTCTCTCCCTTAGGAACCTTCACAAAGGACTTTCTCCTTTGTGCCTTGGTTTCTCACTTCTTCTTCCCCTCCAAGAAGAACCGAACCACAAGAGTGGCTTCTTAACAAGCTTTGAGGCTTTTTTTGCTTCCGCAAATCACCATTGAAGAACCTCCAAGAGCTAGATTGGACATTGGATGGAGCTTGAGGAAGAACAACAATCACTTCTCCAAGTCTCTTCCATCATATCCTCACACTTATGTCAGTGTGGCACAACCCTGAGTATGAGAAGCTACAGGGGTGGCTTGAGCATGGCATACTATGGGACGTGTGAGGCAATTAACACGTATGTCAGCGTGGCACGACCTTGGGCAAGAGATGCTACAGGGGTAGCGTGAGCATGACATAGTGTTAATTGCAAGATTTATGTGTGGCAATTAGTACTTATGGCATGGCACGACCTTGGGCACGAGATGCTACAAAGGTGACATGATCTTAACATAGTACAAATTATATGATGTGATGGATTGGTGTGATTGTGAATTGTGATGTAAAGATGATGCATGGTTGATAGAATTATGATATATAGAAATGGTTGTAAATATTTTCTTATGTAATGAGTTAGGATGAGAATACATTATGGTGTGTTTGTATGTGCTTTACATATAGATATTTTCTTTTCTCACCGTACAATTTGTGGATGTTTTAGGTGAGGAAGACCCGGCTATGAGTGGCATCGAGAATGCCAACAGTTGAGTTGTAGGTGTGTTATGATATTGTGACATCGGGGCAGAGAATTTCTAGAAAATGGATTTTATATGTATTTGGAGTTGTTCTTATTATTTTGAAAACAATTTGTAAACTCTTAAGTTTTATTTTCCAAGTTTTATTTTCAATTATTTTGGATATGGAATAACAGTTATGAAGGTTTTATGTGGACCCTTTTAACAACGTAGAAAAATTTATTTCTATAACTATTTACATTATTATAATTATATGTTGGGGGTAGTAAGGGTGTCACAAGTAGTCTAAGTAGTTAGGTCCTACCAAACCGACAACACAAAACTTTTTTGGGCTTACTAGGTAAATAAAAAATTTGCATAAAAATCCACAACACAATAATGATTTCTCAAACTTTTCCACTTAAACAAGGAAGTATAGTACTATGTCAGGATAGGAAAATTGGGTTTAGGCCTACTGACTATCCTCCAAATACTATAACCTTCTGATACTCGATTAGGAACTAAGCTCCTAACCTCATACTTTACTCAAATTGGCCGCTTGTAATCGGTATAGCTCAACCTTACCCATATACCATGGTCGCTTTATACATGTGTGCCTCGACTTTGCCTACACACGGGACCAACTAAGTCTTAGAGGAGAATAACACATCATCCACTCTAAGGGACAACTTCTCAAGAAGGGGTTTTCAACAAATTGGGCTCTCAGAGCACCACAACTAATCCTTAGCTCATATGAAAGATAAGAAGATTTCCTACAACTCTCATGAAGACATCAAGTCCTAATTCTATCATCTACCTTGTTAAAAAATGTAAAAATCGCAACAACTAGCCTAAATCCTGATAACTTGACCTTTTCTCACTAAAAAGGTCATAACTAGAGTTCTAGACCTCCCTTTTAGGTGATTTTAGTGCCATTCGAAAGCTAACATCCAAGGCTACAACTTTCATGAGGACCCTAATACCAAATTAGATCATCTACCCTTGGCGCTGCAATGCTTAATTCATCATTCTAGCTCCAACTCTCTACCAGCTTCATTTTCTCCTAGGGCTGTAGTGCCTAACTTGGAGATGCAGCTCCAAGTCTTTGCCAAATCAATTTCTCCCAGGGCTGTAGCGCCCAAATTGGAGTTGTAGCTCCAAGTCTCGACCTCTATGTTTTCTCTCACAACTACAACGTCGGTTCAACGCTCCAACCCGAAGTGCATAACTTTTTGCCCTTCCATGACTTCTCACATCGTTTTTCACTCAAATCCATCAAAAACCTGCAATCCAAGGAGACCCAGCCCATGCAACTACACAAATACATCACTACTAACCACATGCAACACAAAAATTCCAAGAAACACAACATGCATGCATCAAGATTTCAAATAGATCATCAAGAACAACAAGGTTTTAACTTTCGCAAGCAAATAACTTCAAATTTCTTTTCCCCGGCTCAGATTTTCAGAATTCACACAAATTTTGAGTTCTTAACTAAATCAACAACCCCACAAATCATAAAAATCTAAGATTTCTAGCTTCTCTTACCTCGAGAAGGAAGAACGTCGAATCTGGCTATCCGAGGAAGAAGGAGAAGAAGAGAAATGAAAATGAAAATTCGACTCCGGAGCTTTGAAGCTTCCTTGTCTACCTAATGCTCAACACCTTTGAGAATCCAAAGAAATGAAAGAGTTTAGGGGAGAGAAAGAAGTAGAATGAAGAAAAGAGAGAGAGTCTCGAGTCTTACAGTTAATACCATTGAGATTTTCACTAAAATCAATAATGTTTTTATAGACATATTTGATCACACCTTGATCAAATCAAGAAAATCATCCAACATCTCATTAGACAAGTTTTTTCTTCATAACATGTAGAACATATTTTATAAAGGACAAAACTTAAATACAATTTCTTAGGTGCATTTAGTATTGTTCTCCAATTAGAATTAAAATTTTACTTCAGTATGATATAAGTACATTTAATGCAGGTCTTATTAATGTACATTTATGCATACTATCAAGGTAAAATTTTAATTCTGATTAGAAAATAACATCAACCACACCTAACATACAATAATTAAGTTTCATCTTTTATATTAAAAAAAAGTGCATGTAAGAAAGCAATTCACAAAGTAGCAATTTTACAAAGTATATTAGATAACGCTGTAAGTGTTTGATGTGACAATGTATGTTGTCCAAAAGGCATTTTGAATAAACACTTGAAATCGGGTTTTTCTTTTCTTCCTTCTCAAACGAACAACTCTTCCTTTTAAAAGCTTCCAAAAAGAGACGTTGAGAAAGGATATTTCCATTGTGAAAAGGACGTTATGTTTTCTCATCTTTATGTCGCTAGTTAAAATATGTAAGCATATTGCTCAACATATCATGGTATGGATACTTTTATTTGAATACATTATTGTAAAAGTATTACACTAGATACTTTTGATAAAAACATTCATCAGACAAACTATATTAAAACGCACATTGGGCACCTTGATTTGAAAATGCAAAGACTAGACCCTTCATTTAAAACATTTGATTTTATCTCTATTAAGATAAAGATCAATAATACCATAAATGCATAAACTAGTTTGGTTAAAATTATAATTTTTCAAAACTGAAAAAAAAATATTAATATTTACTTTTTAAAAAAATATATGTAATTTTATATTTCTATAGACAATATCACTTTTGATATCATTTTATTTATAAACACTTTTAATCTCAATTCACCTATTTTTTAATTACTCTTTCGTCCTTTTTTAAAACTAACCACTAATTAGTCTTCACGTTTCTTTTTTCTGTGTGTCATAACAGTAATTGTTATTTAAACATAATTTAATATTTCATCCTATTATTATCTAGTTTGTTATATAATATGCACTAAATGAATAAAATCAAAGCTTATTATGTTTTTACCTTATCATACTTGTTACATTTCCTATCTTATTATGTCATTCTCACCAGAGGGACTCTTAAGCTTCTACATCAAACATGAAAAGGTTTCAATTTTGAAACAACGCAACATATATGCAAACACGCTTGGTTGAAAAATAAAATAGACATTCCAATGCACGTTTACAACGGCACCAAATTTTGCTTTTGCAGCTTTCAAACCACAAAAAGACTTGGATTTTTGCCAGAAAGGAATAGCATTACTGTGAATCATATCAGTATCCAATCTAGATATTAAAAGTCTACATATTTCTTTTTAAAGTGGATACCCAATTATGGGCCAAACACAACCTACTAATTTAACACCAACATTTTCACATCTGATTTTGCACTTAAAGAAACATGTTCAATTATAAGTTGAAAAATATTCAGAAACAAGCGAGATTGAAGAAGAAATTATATATAAAGTAAAAGGGGTTTCTTAATGCAGTAGCATGGTGCTTAACAATTGACATGAAGAACCAAATCTACTATCCCTCTTCATGCTTTCTTCTGTTTTACTTCTGGTGGTGGTGGAGGGAAGATAGCTCGGAACAGCCAAGCAGCCAATATTGCTCCAGTGAAGGGGCAAATCCAGTATACATAGAATTGGTCCCATGTGTTGTGCAAGTTGTTCATGTATGCCCAACCAAAGGCCTACAGAGACAATAATAACCAATAATAAAGTTATTCATTGTCAACTCTTAAGTCTGAAATTAACATCAGAGGATTCAAGAAATGCATATAATATATGCACATATATAAACTACAGGAACTTCAACGAATAATCAATAGGAACATCAAAGAAATGAGTTATAATTCAATGATCAACAACAAATTCTTATTTTAAGAAGAATATTTGTAGTCAAACTTTGAAATGTTCATCTTGACTATTTCATATCAAGCCACTAATTATTTTTATCTGATTCCATATTTCTGTACCTGCTTAGTTGCCTTTTTTTTCATTATATTCAATTTCTGATTGTATAATAATCCCTGCGTTCAAGGGATCCTATCATTATTGTATTTTAAATTCTGATTATCATAAATAAAGGGCTGAGGATTCATTCTTCTCAAACATTCTGATTATTCTAAGTCTGATATTCAAGTCTTCTCGATTATTTATATTCGTACTAGAAACAATATTAAATACGGTAAGACAGTTTTCATGTCATATAAGGAGATACATTTCAACCATAGCTCACTTTGACATTCTTCTTTTACGGGTTAAATCTCGTGAGGGCACCACTAATATAGTAAGTCGATGTTATTAGTGTGTCCAGAATGAGATTTCACCCGATAATAGAGAGAGAATTGATAAAAAAATGTCAAAAAGTATTACTAGCATAGTATGGACATTTGAGGAGACCAATAGAAGCAATTAGAAGATTCGATCAAATATAGGTAAGCCCAATAATTAGAGGTGGGTGAAACCATTAAAATTGATTTAGATCTAAATGGCCTATGGGCATATTTGGATAAACTTTTCTAAAAGCATTTCTAAGGGGGAAAAAATAGGAAAAAAAATTGAAATAAACTTCTCTACAAATCATGTCATTTGATCCAAGTAATTGACATCACCTAGTAGGAAGAAAGTTATCCTTATTTATCAGCATTTCAAAGGAAGGAAGAAGGAATGCCTGAATCCACAAAAGGAAGATAATTTGTAATTTACTCAACAACAAAATCTTGTGGATACTGGATACCTCAATCTTACATATTGTCTGCTAACTCTACCCTCATCTGAAGGTCTGAATTATGTCCAGAATTTCAACGTTTTAAACTGATAGGTAATATCATTTTGATTGTAGTCAAAGCAACATCGAGGAAAACTGGCAAAAGTAGATATTCCTTATAATCGCAGCTATAATTTGATAGCTATCTGTAGAAATGCTTTGAAGCAGCTTTACCAAAGAAATCGTGATGGTTTCTATAAACTTGTTTGACATGAATGCCCTATGACACCCATTCCAGAGTTTTTTTATAAGACTAAATAACAGAATTTGACATATAAAAGAAAATAATATTACAAAGAGGAAAGGAAAAGATGACAACACCTAATGTTGCCATGACCTGATTTTTAAAAAGAAAAAAGAAAAAGAAGCATAATATCTCACAATCAAAGGCCAGGGGCTAGAGTTAAATTCCAGAATACTTGGCAGAACAAAGAAACCTTGGCAGAAATTGGTAAAAACAATTTACAATATAATGTTTCAAACTCAAAAATGCATATAAAAATCACTGAAAAAGAACACAAGAAAAGATGATAATTAAGTAAACCCCTAATTAGTCCTTGAAATTGTATAAGATGAATGACTTTTAACACCCGAGATTTTGAAAGCCATGTCATTCACTGCAGTACTATTTGGTACAAAATGACACTGGAAAATAAAGTAGAACAGGACTAAGATGAATGACTTTTAAAATCTCCGGGACTAAAATGTCCGGCCTATACAATCTGGATATAAAACTTCATTAGTTTACTCATCATAATTCAAATCACCCTAGAGACAACACAAAGGACAGATGCAAGAAACGTATATAATTCATGCTCAAAAAACAAAACTGACAAATGCAGAGAAGGGTAATCACTCACATTGGCAGGATTCATGGCTGGTCCAGTGTAGGCAGATCCAACCATGACCAAAGCTACGGTCGCTGTCGCCAGCAACCAAGTCTTCAATAAATTACTACGAGGGCCCTTGAGGATGATTAAGAGAACAGCAAAGGTAATCAAAAAAGTCAACACCCCTTCAGCCACAGCCCCAGTGTGCACGTCCACTTTCAAGGAAGGCCCCCCAATCTTGTGCCTGTATTCCGCAGGAATCACTTCCATAATTGCCATTGCTCCACCCGCAGCCCCAACCGCCTGTTCACAACTAAACCATCCATCAAACAGTCCTAACATAAACCAAGTCAAGTACCCATAACAAAACTCAGATGCAATTTCTTGTGTATTTTTTGTATGATTATCCTATCAAAATTGTTGTTTCAAACTAAGATGTAGTCTCTTAGAAACCTTTGGTGTTATTCACTAATCAGCATTATATTTTCAAACTTAGATGCAGTATTTTAGCTATCTTCTTTGCTATTCTCCCATCAAAAGTGAAGTTTCATATTGAACATTAAAAACAAAGCTTTATCAGGTTGATTACCGAGATGGAATTCTAATTCCGACTAGACTGCAGTACTAAAACACTGAGAATGTGTTTGGTTTTATGGTGGAAATCATGGGAATTAGTTTTGACTCAAACCGAACTTGATTTTGTAAAAATATAGATGTATAGAAATTGTCAAAGGCCTAATTGGATAAACTTTTCTAGAAATATTATCAAGAAGATAAAAATAAAAATAATGCAAAATAATTTATATAATTTCTCTCATGTTAACTTCTCCAAAGCTTTTTTCTTTTATAACTTACACTTAAACTAATTTTAGCTTATTGAGATTATTTTATTTTTTTTTTAAAAGAAAGCTTATTCAGAAGTTAATTTCACTTTATTTTTTTCTCTAATGGAAAAGTTTATCAGGAGCGATTAATCCCTAGCTTTCGTCTAGAGGATACCTGGTTTTCGCCAAAGTACTTGCTAGATAAAAGTTTTTTGCTCCGAAACATGGATTTAACTAAAAGTGATAAAAAGTATATTTTGCTTTGGGTTGAAAATACTCCACCAAGTTTCATGGTAAATTTGCTTTCAGGGTAAAAGCGAATCACTTTGCTTGAAAATCAAAGTCATATAAAGTCAATTTCGCAAGTCCAAACGCATAGTAACGGTAAGCAAGCTTTATCTTGGCACTGACCAGCACGAAAAGATGGAAAAGAAAAAAAAGCTGATCTGAAAAAGAGCCCTTTATGCTTTACCTGCGCAGGGAACCTGAGCGCCATTGAGAAGAGCGTGTCGGAGCCGAGACCAACGGCGTAAAAGGAGGCAGTTCCGGTGGGGTTGAAGCTGGCGCCACCGAAGGCATTGCCGATGACGGTGAAGAGAAAAACGAGGGCGAAAACGAGGGTAGTGGTGACGAGGAACGAAGGGTAGGGGAAGCCGTTGTAGGAGAGGTGCTGAAGATCAAGAGCCTTGGTTATGGCACTGGAAGCTATTCCCAACAGGGAGGAGCAGAAGACCCACATGAAAGTCAACACTGCGTCTCCAATCGCTGCTTTTATGGCACCCACCATTGTTTACTCTCTGTGTGTGTGTGTCTCTCTCTATGGAGGATTGAAGTGTGTGTTAATGTTTGTAGGAGAGAGTTAAGACTTAAGAGAAGATGGATGTTATTGTTTGGTGTCGAGGGAGAGTGTGTGTGAGAATGCGAGTGATTCACCTAATCACTGCAACTGGTAGGTGCCGTCCGACATGACCACCTCGACAACCTGCGATAACAGGTCACGCCCCCTTTCTTTTTGTTACCATTAACATTTTATTTTATTTTTGAGTTAATTACTTATACATCATTATCGGTATAAAATTATTTTATATTAATAATTAATTATATTTTTTAATAATATTATGTTAATTATTTATTTAATAAAATAAAAAATAATAATTTAAAAGATATAATTGATTATTAACTTAAAAAAATTTACATTAATAATATATAAATGATATTTTTTTAGTTTTTAGAGAAATTTTATGTTTCTCGTTCATTCCATTTTCTATGCTCTCTTCCTTGGAAAATAATCTTTGCATTAGGAAGAAAAAAGGTAGGTGAGAAATGTTATAGATGAAAATAGATTGGAAAAAAATAAAAATAAAGAAATAAGGAAAGTATAATATAAAATTTGTTTAATTTTAAAAATAAGTGTTTTTAAATAGGTATTTTTAAATTAAGAAATGGATAGAAATTATTTTTAAAAAAAATGTTTATTTTAAAAAAATTTAGACAAATATATTAAAAATAAAAATAAAAAGAGTTTTTGTTTTATTTAAAAGAATGCTGTTATATATTAATTAATTAATTAATTAATTAATTAATTAATTAATCAAATGGACTCATAATTGATTATGATAATTGATAATCGATGGTCAGCATCAAGAATAAACTTTTTGAAACAATTGACTAAAAAAAATCCGTTGTTTTAGATTTTAACACTAAGACAACCAACTGTGAATGCAAAATAATTGACTGTTTTAAACAATTAACTAGAAAATTGTTCATTTACTTAGTAGTTTGTAAAAAAAATAGTTTTTGTAATATTCTAAAAAAATTAGTTTTTGTAATATTCTAAATTTTCAATATAATGTTTAATTACATTATTAGATAATTTTAATATTCTCAATTTATTTTTTTTATATAACATTTAGTTGATTAAATAGATCTAAATAATACCTAATCATACTATTTTAATAATTTTAAATTATTTTAAATTTTTATTTTGTAAAAGTAAATAAATAAATGAACATTAATAATGATTAATCATTACGAAGTATTAATATAATAATAATAATAATAATAATCGATTTTTATAGAAAATTTTCTACTACAAGATTGTTTCATAAGAATAAGATAATGTTTATCTAAAACATTTAATCTAGAGTTACTAGCTCACGTAAATACGAAGTAACTAAAATATATATATATCATTAGAATTCAACTATTGATAATTATTACAAATTTTCCTATAAATAGGTATGGGTGGTGATCAGATTATGGGAAGGAATGAATGAATAAGAGAATATGAGAGAAAGTAAAAGAGAATTAAGAAAGAAGAGAGAGAAAGAAAAAGAGGAAGAAAAAATGGGAGAAAAATTTCTTTTACTCAATCTCATTTTTCTATTAAGGTGTGGAGATGAGACTTTTATTTTTTTAAAAAATTTTATATTATTTTAACTATCTACTTTAAATCATTTTTATCTATATTTATTTGGTGAGGTGTCTCTAACCTCATCTTACATGTTCAATATATGTTAATTTTAAGTTTAATTAATTAATTTAGTGTCTATAATTCATTTTGTTTAATTATTTTCTATTAATCTTAACTATCATTTATTGAGTTTAAATATATTTATAACTTTATTATCCAGTTATTATTATTTAATCAATTATATATATATATTTATATCTCTAAATAGTAAAAAACGTAAACTTTAATTCTTTATAATAAATTATTAATATGTTTGAATTAATTTGTAATTGGAGATTTAATTTTGAGGATTTAAATGAGTAAATATTTAAGGTGAAATATCCTTGTATTATTTGGTATCATGATTAAGTTCATTTCTCTTAACTAATTACCGCAAAAACAATTCAAATTTCTCCATGAAGTAAAAATCTAAATTGGTGATTAATAATAATATGCAAATATTTATATATATTCTTGATTAATTAATTTTATTTGATAAATGTTCTTGTGAGACCCGTCCCTCACTTCTCTCCCTCTCAACTCTCATCTCTCTACTCACTCAAAATTCTCTCTTCTCCTCACTATCTCTTCTGATTTCGGATTTCCTTTTCTCTTCTCCAAGCTGAAGCTGTGAGTGAACAAGGAGGTTCATTCTCTTAAACTTGAAGCCGTTCGGAGCTAGCCGTGTGCGAATTTTCTTCTTCTTCCCCATTTCTCTTCAAGGAGGCTCGGATCTTCGAACTGAGGTAAGGGAAGCTAGTTTTTGCGGATTTTGATTGTGAGCAAGTCCTAGAAACTCAATTGCTGGTTGATGATTGATGATTCTTAGTTGAGATAGCTGGAAAATGAAGTTTGGGAGTTTTTGGGGGGTTTTTGAGAAATTTTGGGAAATTCTTGATTTGTGGTTGCATGTACAAAAAGATGGTATTTTTGAACTGTTTGATGAAAATGTGGTACTTTGAACTGATTGCATGTGGAGTTTCCTGGTTTTTTTGCAGGTATTGAAGAGATTTTCGAAAATATGAGGTTTGCCGATGAAATCGCGCTGAGCGCAGTTCCTCACGCCGGGCGCGAGGCCATCTGAGGGTAGCATTTAGGCAAGCCCGCCGGGCGCAAAGATGTGTGCGTCGGGCGTGCTTGAGGATGTTAGCCTCTGGATGGCCCACGCTGGGCGGGGGGGTTAGACCGTGCTGGGCGCGATATCAGTTGTGGCTTGTTTTGGGCTTTTGGCATGGCGCTGAGCGCGATCTTGGTCGCGCTGGGCGCGGGGACTCCTTGGGAGTCTCTGCCATGGGGGCGCCGGGCACAATTTAAATTACGATGGGTGCGAGACCAAGGGAGGTCTCTGCCTTCCCCACGCTGGGCGGGGGTTTAGGCACGCTGGGCGCGTGAGACTCCCTGGAGTCTCTACCTGGCATGCGCTGGGCGCAATTGGTATTGCGCCAGGCGCGAGTGAGCCTTGGGCTCTCTGGCTGGGTCTCACCGGGTGCGGGCATGCTTGTGTTGGGCGCGCTGGCCCCCCTGGTGCTCTTTGGTTGTACTGCGCTGGGCGCAACCACGAGTGCACCAAGCGCAGAGATGATAATTCACTATATGCTGTTTAATGTTGTTTTATGCGGAGCTAAGTCGACGTTGATGAACATGAAGTGATGACTAGTAGATAATGCTGTTTGATGATGTTGAGTTGTATCAGATGATTTTTGTTGTAAGATGTCTTGATGTGCTGTAAGATGATATGTTGTGCTGTAAAGTTGTGTTGTGTTGTATGATGATATGAGCTGTTGTAGGCCATAATGGCTGAGTTGTTGTAGGCCATAAATGCTGAGTTGATTGTAGGCCATAATGGCTGAGTTGTTGTAGGCCATAATGGCTAAGTTGTTGTAGGCCAAAAGGCTGAGTTGTTGTAGGAGATCTCCGAGATGATATGCGTGACGACGCATTATTTGCCATTTGCTGGTTTGTTGTACAATCGATGAGATGTAGGCTGACGATGTGTTGATAGTTGTAGTTGTTCATATTACTTAAATCTTGCTATACGTTGTTCTTTTTATACTAGCTTACCCTTTGTGTTTCCATGTGGTTGGAATGCTATGATCGTACTATGTACGGGAGCAGAGCAGGGATAGGTGGGTGGCTAGTGGTGAGTCTGCAGCTGGCAGGTGGAGCTGATTCTAGTTGATGCCTTGTTGTTCAGCTACTTGGTGTAGTAGCTTGGTTGTATTGTTGTACATTTTGAATCTAGTCAGACTTGGATCATGTATATATGTATATTCTAGACACTATATGTATGCACTTGTTCCTTTCTGTCCGGTTTTCAGGTGTACTGTGTTGTGTGTAGTGACCAGTCGGGTCGTTATACTTTAGTGGTATCAGAGCAGTTCGAGTCTAGTGGACACTCTTTGGGGGTGGTTCCTTTAGGCTTCTGTTGTGCTGAACTCTGTGTGTGTGCTGTCTTGCTGTGTTGTTTGTTGTGTTGGTTGTTGTGACGTTTTGTTGTGCTGATTGATTGTTGTTTGGTTCAGATATTGTATACTAAAGATGCTGTTACTTTTGTAGACAATGTCTAGAGCCAACGAACAGATAGCCCGGGCCATGGAGATGATGGCCATGGCTATGCAACAGCAAAATGCCTATTTTGCTCAGATAGATGTTGAGAGGGTTGCAGCTGGTGCAGCAAGGCCCACTGGGTCACAGGAGAGTCGGGACCTGGCTGAATTCCAGAAATGCCATCCTCCGCAATTCAAGGGAGATGCAGATCTAGAGGTGGCTGACCATTGGATTTGTGAGCTTGAGAAGATCTTCACCGTGCTGGGATGTTCTCAAGAGAGGAGGTTAGCATACGCGGTGTACATGCTGGTCGGGGAAGCGGAGCATTGGTGGAGGGGTACCCATCACATGCTGACCGCTAGAGGAGTGGTTGTTGACTGGGAATGCTTCCGAAGGATGTTCTTGGAAAAGTATTTTCCTGAGAGTGTGAGGCATGCCAAGGAAGTTGAGTTCATGCGATTACACCAAGGAGGGATGACCGTTTCAGAGTATGCGATGAAATTTGAGCACTTGGCTCGTTTTTATTCATAAGGTATAGCTGAGGCCTGGAAATGTCGGAAGTTTGCTGAGGGACTAAAGTATGAGTTGAAGAGGGTGGAGGTGCCTATGGCCATCACTGAATTTCCAGCCTTAGTGGAGAAGGCGAAGGTTGTTGAACGGTTGGAAGGTGGTAACCGTGGAGTGAAGATTTCTGAAGGACCAGCTGGGTCCAAGAAAGGAGGGAACCAAAGGAAGCCGTATGATAGGCCCCAACCCCAACAAGGGGGTCCTGTCATCAAGCAACCTTCTGGTGCTGCTGGTGGAGGAGGATAGGGTGGAGGTGCTTCCCTTAGATGTTACAAGTGTGGTGGGCCCATTTGATCAAGGATTGTCCCCATACAGAGAGCCGGTGTTTCAGGTGCCAACAGATAGGCCATGTGTCTTTCAACTGCCCCACCAGGAATAGACCGGAGAGGAGTACTCAGAGGGGTGATGCGCAGAGAGGAGATG